CCCGTATTTGGGGCCTCACTGCCAGCCAACAACCAGGCGCTCTCTTATTCAGCCTTCTGCCTCTCACGCCTAAAAATGACCCTGCAAAGCCAGTCCCAGGTATCAACCTGGTATCGGTGCCATCATAAAAACCAAATCCAAGGACAAAAATCAAGTTTAAAGTGATTTCCAAGTCACGCTGCCCACAGAAGTGCCCCTGTCGGCTATCCTTGTTACAAAGTCATGTTTTTCTGCAGGTTAATTACATCGAGGAACAACAAAACAAGATGACAGAAGCCCATAGGTCACAAAACAAAAATATGAACTACAAAGGAAAACATCTGCTACCTTTGTTAGATACCAGGAGTACTACGTGGAACGCAAAACTTTAAAGACAGGCGTCCTTTTCGTGGTTTGCAAACAAACTATATTGCGGCAACTCGGCTCTCGTCACTAATACTTAACGAGTCCTGATTATCGTACACAAACCTCACCAAAAATATTAGAAGCTTGTAGATAAAGTAGTCTTTGCATTCTGCATTTCCAAAATAGTTAGATAAGGTGGGGGGGTGGGGTGGGGGGAAGTCTTCCAACAGCCAACTGTAATAGGAAGTGGATGGGACTTCTCCTTAGTGTCAAGCATGACTATTTAGCAAAGGACAAGCTATGACATTTTATCAGATCTCGCTTCTATTAATACTGAATTTACTACCACCAAGGAAAAGAAGGGCCCAGAAAAACACACAAACAAAATACAGCTTCACTAGTTTGTTAGTTAGGACTGTAAGAACTGTTAACTTCCCAATTCCTTCAGCTGTGAAACAGAAAATGAGCAAGCTCAGCAATTTCACAACTTGTCTGTAACAGTAGCAAATTCCAGAGGACTGTCTCTTCCACGTGCACACCACTCCCCGAATCCGCTCTTTAGGTGCACAGAAGTAGTAAAGCACCAAGCGGTCCAGCTGGTCTCTGTCCAGCATTCTTGAAAAGCAGTAACAGCTTCAGCAGTACCAAGACCTGGCGTTCTTTCCATATTAGAAGTCTCAAGACAGCAACGTATAGAACCGGAATACCCTGGTAAGCACTCTGCAGCACCCATCACTTCATAAACCCACCGCTTCTCCCTTAGGCTGAGCTTCAGATATATTCACGCTCTTACCCTTTCCCTCTGTCTTTACATCCACCCTCCGAGACATTCCTCCATCTCCTAGATTTGTAGTCTGTGTCATCTACTTCCTCTCTTACCTACACAGGTCATAACGCTCGTGCTCCTCACCCACCTTAGCTGTGATTCATACATCCCGGTTTCGACATCGCTTTTATGTAGAAGTCCAACACTTATATTGTGCAATTTCAGGGCCTTTTGTTTAGCTTTCGCCACAAGCGCTTTCAAAAATAATTGTTATTTTTGAGTAAGAGCCTCAGCATGCCACAACATTTTAGATGGGACCCAAGAGGCTTTGTTTGGGCAGATCTGACAGGGGACAGTTACTTGGATTCCTGAAACATGCCACAACAAGAGGCCGCAAGACTTGGCATAGTTATTGAACAATACAATAGATGCGATACAACGGATGAAGTTCTGTTTAGTACCCACAAAATTCACATGGAATCATAATGTTTCCTTCTGCCTGGACGGCTTGGGGCTGGGATGAAGAGAGAGACCTACAGCTTTTGGGCCCAGCAGCACGCAGACCATCATATTCTCGTGTATTTGGAGAAGACCTTCTTTTACTGAAGGAGGCAAAGGCACTTGCTGGGTTACAACCTGTCTGTTATGCAAGCAACATGGAAAAATTAGCTCTCCTGTTGAGCACAGATAGACTCTCAAAACCATGCTTTGCAAAGACAAAACTGCTAGAGTTCTCACAGTATCACTGAGTGAAGACTGCACCCTTGTTCAGCCACGGTAGCAGAAAAAAGTCTTTACTGCAAACCCCTAGATACAATACAAGAAAGTACTAAACCTGATGAAGAATCAGATCTTCGGCAGGGTAAAGCTCCTCACAAAATTCACAGGGCAACATGATGATCTCATCGTCTGCAAAGTAAGTAATGGTTATATCCTCTACCATAGAGAAGTCTGATGCAGTTGGATCGACTGATCTTCAAAATTCCTAAGTAACAGACTCCTGTTCTGTGCCACAGGACAGCAACCAGAGCAAATGCTAAGGAAACAGTTACTCTAGTCCCGCTTGCTGAATTTCATATAAGCAAATTCACATCACCCAGAGCGACAACAATGTTTTGTCGTCAAAGATATATCGAATGGTCTGGTAAAAAAGCCTATTACTGCCTTCAGTAAATCCTTTAGTACCATTTCTCCTTTCAAAATAAGCTGGCACTTCAGGTCTCCCCCAGATCCTCCTTTCCTATCGTGTTTACTTCAACAAGAAAGTTGGCACCTACTCCGTTGTTACGAAGCTCTCACCATGTATCAAAGTCAGAGATTCACTATAGCTTTTATTCCTTCTTCCCTTGCGGTCTTGCTTTAGTAATACCTCTTTGAAAGAAACTATTTTAAACGCTAATATTGCTAAGTTTTGAGGAAGCAGAAGAAAACATTTAAAAAAGGAAGGAAGAATGGTACTCATGGAGAGTCTAATCTCCTGTGTATTAATTATCTAAAAATGATTTAGAGGGAGTCTCAGAGACTCATTTTGACATTTTAAAATACCTAGATAATCTTTGACATTCCCAGTCCAAGAATCCTCTCTTTCCTTCTCCATTCTCTCAAACTTTAAGGAAAAAAAAAACACCACAACAGCGTTTTTACTTACTTTTTATGTGGTTTGACACTAAAGAGTCACAGGAGAAGATATTTGACTTGTCTGTTTCATTAAGACAGGCCGACGGCACAGACTCTTTGGTGTAGTAGTTTTCCCAGAAGTCACTGGGAATGTCAGCCGCAGTATTATTGTGAGGATTATTCTCATTTTGTAGGCTGAGAGCCAACACGTAGTCTAAATCGGCGTCCCACTCTTCATAAAGTGAAGAATGAGTGTTTTCACTTCTCTCCAGCTGCTCCAGTTCATCCTCTTCAAAAGATAAATATCATAAATTTAAGAGAACGTTAAGCCTGCAACAAGCAGTTCACCTCTGTGCGTTAGACTAGCTCAACCATGAGGGTTTCACAGGCACACATGTGGACACTCATGGAGGTCAGCGTTTCAAAGCCTAGAAGGACACCTGTATCAAATTCAGGAGGAAGAAGGAAAACACTCATCCTATTTTTGTTTGTAACAAGCAAAAAAGGAAAAAAAGAAGAAAGTCGTTCCTCTTACTCCAACAGCTTGAACTTAAGCTTCTCGGGAGCTTTACGAAGTCACTGAACCTTCTGTGACCTACACTGTGAACGAGGTCCAATTAATATACTGCAGTCTCGGCCCTTTTACAAGGCTGAGACACTTCTGCTTTGTTTCTTCAGTATATCGATGGGAAACAAATTCCTGTTAACGATATTACATTTGACAACAGTGGGAATTGTACGTGTACAGAAGAAAACCATGGAATTTCTTCCGGTAGGAAAGCTACGGGATGTTACTGCAGAAATGCACAGCACTACATATGTGAACCCACATCCAGATCTTACCTACCCTTCTACTTAACTGGAGTAAAGAGGAGTGCAGCTGCTAACAAAAATGGACAGAATTTGCAGTGAGCAAAACAACTCCAATTTCATTTTTAAGCTAGATACTTCGAGGTAAGAGAACAGGCAGTGGACTGGGCTTTCACACCGGGTACCTCAGCAGTCCTCTATTTAGCTGGCTTATATCTTTGCAGTTCTATTCCACGGTAAAATAGTCCCACTCACATTGCCTCTGGAACTTTCATTATTCAGTACTTTCACAGAAAGCAATTACAAAACCGTATACTTGGATCAGCTGCCAAATGTCAAATTAGAAGCTAATTCTCTTCTCTACACTTCACCTCACTTTTGATTTCTTTGTGCTGCTGAAACATTTCTTCTGCTAATGTCCTTAAGTGTTTTGTCTCCTACACAGCTGCTATAAATCTGCTTTTCTAGCACCCTGGGCATTCTCCACAAAGGCCCGGCATAGTTACCTGATCTTAGTCGGTTTCTAATGTCTCGAAGGGCACGCAAATCTGCATCATCATCCTCAAAGCGAGGCACTGTTCTGCTTCCTCTTACTTGTTTCGCCTCTTGCCCACAGACTCGAGGATGCTCTTTTAGATCTTTCACCATGACGTTATGACCGCACCCACCACATCTCTCAGTCCGAGCTCCGCAGTAAATTTCATGGTCCTGGAGCTTGTTGAAAGTGAGCTGTATGTCACAGTACTGGCAGACAGCAGGACGCAGAGGGCACGCTGACGCCTGGAAAAAGAAAGAGGGATTATTCTTCACATATGGAAGACTGAGGCAAAGGTGGAGGGAGGTTCTCAGTTTGCTTAAGAGCTGAGCGGTCTATTGTTTCTTTAGCCAGATCCAAAGCTACACTAAAGAATAGCCTGGAATAAGACAGTATGTGAGAAATGTAAGAACAACGTGTTGTATAACCTTTGTATAAACATGCCGGCTGAAGCACTCCAAATACTCAGAACATTCTTTTTAAATCTGTAACGCCTGGACAGCAGATTCACATGGTGCTTTTTGAAATTAGCTTTTACATATGGTCTTGACGTCCAGTACTAATCGCATTCCATTGAGTACTGCTAAAAACATGTTAGTGTGTGTTATATTAGGGAACAGATTTACAGCACATTTACTACTCAACAAGAATTGCTTGCATATGTTCTTTACCCTACACTGAATGACAGGTAAGTTGCCCTTCAAAAGGGGTTAAACATAGCTGACATATATGTTATAACTGCAGGTGCTGCAATAATACATCATAATTTGCTTTATAAACAAAACTAAAAGCACGACACACAAACATGCAGGATAAACTACTCCCAGGGTTTTGAACAGGACACATCCTCAAAGAAAATCCTTTTTTCCTCACCGATAAGCAGACTTGTATGGCACTTCCAGAGCTGTCTTTAAATGAGCCCATAGGAAGGTACTGACATTTATAACAAGATTGCCTGTGACAGCAGCCAACTGGATTCAGAAACTCAGAAAATCCCACTGTGTCCCATTTTAGTTTATTTTACAAGCTATTTTAAAAGTCTGTTTGGACACAATGAGTTATTAAAACTCACATAATGACTGCAGCAGAGTCAGAAATGCGAAATGTTTCCTTTAGGAATGAAAAAAGTCAAGTTAATCATATTCTATACTTTTGAAATAGCATACCATTTTTCATCTTCATCACTAATAAGTACAAAATCACCAATTATCATGGATACCCCTTCTATAAGAAGGCCTGAGCAGGCTCCACCATTTTAAGGCAGTTTCCAACCACATTCTGTCAGAGGGTGTGAATTTAGAAAGCGTGATTCAATAACAAGGATGCATCAATCACAGGTTGGAATCCAGGTCTTGGCTGACAGAAAGGCTCTACAATCAGTGCTTGGAAATACCGTAGAGTATCTTCCAAGTGTCTAATAATATAAAGTCCACCAACCTCATGATCCTTCAAGAGACATTTTTCTATCTTCATCCTACACTTGCAGGTAACCTACAATAAACAGACCTCATTAGATTAATTGCCATAGAAGTCAGCAATTTTAGAGGAGAAATTTGTTTCTCACCTGCACATGTTCAGACTCAATATGGTTCTTCATTTCAGACTTTGGGATTAATTCACTGCAGTAGCGGCATACTTCAATATTTCTGCTACAGTGGATTTCGTGCGTGATGAAATTAGCAACAGGAATATCCTTTTTGCTATGAGAAAGTCACAGAGGTTACTTTTCAGAAAATACGCTGACAACAATTTCAAGCAGTTTTTCATAAAAAACCCAAATCCTAAGAAAGCTTTCTATGAATTCATGGTTTAGAGAACTGAGTAACTAAAGAGAAAGGCAAGCCCAACCAGGCCTCCATGTTCCTTTATAGTTGGGATATTAATGTATGTAACATGCAAAGGTCACAGTTTTCACAGTGCATTGAGATAAAATCAAGGTGGATTCCTTTCCTTATGTGAAAGACAAATTTTGCAGCATAAAAAAGTTACCACCAGGTTCAAGTTAATGAACTAATCTAAGAAGATAAAAGTTTCTTCCTGAAAATAACTTGGCTATGAGAGGTCGAACAGTGCTCTGCTTGGAAAAAATAAATAACAGATCCTGTTAGGCCAGATCTGTTCAGGGAATGATAGCAGTAACAATATTACTCTGTAGCCAAAATTCCCCAACTCGCCTCATTTCTGATACACATTTTCCTGTCTTGAGGAGGATGCAAGGCTTACAGACACAAAAGTTGCAAAAAGAACTGAGGAACTAGGAGCTTAGCCCTTATTCCTGCCTCAAGCAGGTAGCATCATTTCTAGATGGATGTATCATTCCCCCCCTGCACACAAGAAATCAGCCTTCAAAACACCAAAATTAACTTTATAACCTATCGCTTAGTGCCTTCCACGTCACAAAGGAAAAACACTACAGCTGTTCAGTTTTCTCCCTTGCCAGATCCCAAGCAGCCAACAGCCTGGCAAAGCAACAAAGTCCAACGGCAGTGTCTAAACTGCACATACTCACTGCTTGCAAACAAACTAGACTGATGTTGCAAGAAACTGTTCGGATTCCGATGTCTCTTTGAGAAAAAAAAAGTTAATTTCTTTAGTTGCTTGTATTCAAGATGCAACTTCTGAGATTACATCATTATCAGTAAATGTATTACCAACACCGGAGCTTCTAAAGAAAGAGAACTGTTATCAAAGAGAAACAACTGCCACAACAATATGTGCCTATTGATTCTATTTTTACACCTCTGCTTCTGAGCCACATAGCTGCTAAAGAAAAACTTGGAATCATGTACTTCATGTATACCCCACTGCAAATCAAGTCTTTATTTCTATTTGAATACTTTGGCTTCTATCTAGTTGCCCGTTAAGTCAGAAACTTGAGCAAAGGTTGCGAAAATTACTTTATAAGACATTAATACTTGACAAGGTAAAACCAAAACACAAACATTTCTAAAAAGATAGTACGTTCGTAATTAATTCGCACCTTCTAGTATTTCATAGCATTTCACGAGAATATATACTGCTCACTTATTTAATCTCTGAGCTTTCCTGCCCAAAGGACAGGCCCCAACAGAGACACCCCAGCCAAGCATCCAGTTTCGTTTCTTACCAGTTGCCACACAGCCGGGTTTCCGCCTCGGTAACTGCAGCTATAGCCATGTTTTTGTCCGGGGGCTGAAAGAGAGGCACCCCCCTTCCCCTCAGCGGCTGGGGGCACCCGCACCTCACCGGGGGGGAAAGACGCTCCCGTTCCCTCAGCGCGGGGGCCCGGGGCACCGCCGGCGGGCGGCTGCTCCCTTCCCCCCGCCCGGGGGGGCGC